ATAAAAGGGTAAGAAAGGGATGAGATCCGGAATCCGGAAGCCAATGGCACCCGTTTGCACGTACCCATCTTGCTGCCAATATAGACCATCATCCGCCAGGGTGATCACACCTTTCTTTTTGCCCATTTCACACCGCGCCTTCCACAAGTCCTGCGTGGCCATCATGGTTGAAGCGCTTCCCCGTCACCAAGGGAGGGGGTGAAAAAAGATCCGGTTCTCTTGCCCTTTGCTTGGCTCTACGTGTGGGAAAAAAGCGACCAAGATGGTGCTTAATCACGTTTGCGATCGTTCGTCAATTGCTATGGATGTCTTGGCTCCACACGTCACTCAGAACCTCCCCCTTCTCTGGTGGCAATGCGCTTGCCTTGCGTACTGCTGCTGCCTGAGCTCGGATGGAGAGACGCAAATTTTAGTAGGAACACGCGACCCAAAACTGTGTCCTGCCACACACCCCGTCAAAGTCCGGCAGCCCGTACTCTCTTGCAGTTGCAGCATCACTTGGGACTGCTGATGGAGGCAAGCAGGGTTTTTGCCGGATGGCCTGGTGGCTGGAAAGACTAGTTTCCCCTTCCTTTCTCCCAGCCGTTTAATTTAATCTGCTTGAAATTAAGGCACAAGAATTTGATGCCCGAAATTCTTAGGCCAGCACTGCGATGGAACAAGCCCTCCAAGCTTTTTTTGGTCCTCATGTTTCTTCTCGCTATTTATTTGTCTCTGACATGCGCATGGGTGACCGGTTTTGGTCGATTTTGGCCTGTGTTTTCTTTGGAAGGAATTAGGGACCCTCCTTGTTCTTCGGAAGACCTGCCGTTCCCCGCCTTTATAGCGAGGCGTGAGTACAACGTAAAAATAATACAACACGGCACGGCGACATGTGCAATGGGCATGCTATCATGTTAAGTGGATATTTATGCGTGATTTTTGTGAGTGTGTGGCTCGGATGACGAAAAATGACCGCTGTGGACTCGAGTTACCATATGCGCGACCGCCACGTCCCTCGGGCGGGAGTACCGGAGGAGAGAGAGGCGTTCACATTCTTCATTCTTGTAGAGTTCTTTGCTTCCCTTGGAAAAATACCAATCGACACGATAATACTCAAGCTTTATACAACGCTTACGTGTACAGGTTGTATTTGGGGACCTCTTTTGCTCGACCGCTCCATCTTCCAGCTTGGGGATCGCTAATTGGCGCCTCCGTTCAAATTTAGGGCAAGCGTGGGCGACAGTGCAAAACCCAATAAAATGCGAAAAGGGTCGCTGCGGTCAGGAAAAATGACGATGATGACTTCTTTGATAGCTGCACTACTCCTGGGACTCAGCACCGTAGCAAGGGCTCAGGTATGTGGGTGTTGCTGTCGCAACAGGGAGGAAGGAGAGGCACGATGGCCGGGGACGGAGGAGGCATCGATCCTCTCCCCTTTATTTCCATCGTGTGCCCAGCAACCTACGGCAATAGTTCAGTGCAAATGTGCGCTAATTTTATCGCTTTCCGCCATCCCTGCTGCACTCTCATTGTACGACTCCCATATTATTGCCCTGTCCCTCCCTGCGCCTCCCTGCCCGCCCCTCCTCCCTTCCTTCCCGGCCCGCAGGTCAAGACATTACAGGACGATCTCCAGGTCCAAACCGTATGGGACAATATCTGGGGTGTCGTCCAGGTGGTATTTTTGCCGGGGGGAAAGGTGATGACGGTGCATAAACCCGGGGAACTGCATGTGTACGACTCCATCTTCAGCAAGAGTCAGGTGGGGAGGGAGGGAGGGAAGGAGGGAAAGAGGGGAAGAGCACTTGAAGTGAGGTGGCTGAAAGTTTCGAGACCGATACAGTACATTCTACGGCGTTGCGAGGGCATCCTACGAAGCGTCCTTCCTCCCTCCCTCCCTTCTTCCCTCTCTCCCTTCCTCCTTCCCTTCCACCCTCCTTCTTTCCTTCATGTCCTTTTTTCTTATTGTCCGCCTTTTTCTTTTCCCCCTCCCCGTCTCAGGACTATACGACGATTCTCGACATCAACGAGGAGGTGTACTCTTGGTGGGACCATGGCCTTCTCTCGGCGGCCGTCCACCCCGACTTTCCCAAGAAGCCGTACTTGTTCATTGCGGTAGGGAGGGAGCGAGAGAGGGAGGGAGCGAGCTAGGGTGTATGGAGAGTAGCGGACATGCCCTTAATCTTAGTCTACATTTGTTCTGAGAAGCAGAGTGGGCCTGCGTGGTGAAGATTCCTGGCTGACTTCTCACCATTTTTCTTCCTCCCTCCTTCTGTCCTTCCCTCCCTCCTTCCCTTCTCTCCTCAGTACTCGGCTGAATACCCCGGGAAGCCCTGGAATGACAACTGTGAGGTAGACTACCGCCTGAGCCATATGACCACGCCGGCAGACACGCGCCCCTACTGCAAAACCATGGCTAAGATCATTCGATTGACGGTGAGGGAGGGAGGGAGGGAGGGAGGGAAGGAGGGAGGGGGAAGGGGTTGGAAAACATTTGCTTAAGACAAGAAGGGAAGGAAA